CTCCTTAGGACACCCAGATTTTGCCTCTTAGCCCATCATTTTCCATAAGCAGTCAAAGAACTTCAATAAAACTTCAATGAAATCGCTTCTCTTCCAGGCCCTAGCATCGGTTGTTCAAAAACAAAATAAAAAGACAAAGGGGAAAGAAAAAAAGAAAACCCTGGCCGTGGGACACGTTGGGGCTGTTTTAAAGGGTCATTGTGTTCAGGTGAGCTGGGGGTAAACGCTGAGCTTGGGGAGGAAGCCAGCCCATTGTGGAGCCTGGAAGGGAGTCTTTGCAACAAAACAGATCTTATCGGCCCAGCAGCCCAGCTCAGGTTCCGCCCCTCTGGTCATTTCCTTTCTACTAACTGTAAGAACCAGCCCGCTGGTGTTTCTCAGGATTACAGGTTTTTAGGTCAAACAGAAACCCCAGGGAACGCCAGGCCCATGGCATCGCCCCCGGGGCTGTGAGCAGAGGCCGGCTGTTGGGCCCCATCCTCCAGGCTCTCCGCACAGCCCAAGAGCAGCGGGGAGCTGAGCTGAGAGGATTCCCGGTGGCCAAAGACAGACGCTACTTCACCACAGGAGCTTGAACAGCCCCGGGCCACCCGTGGGCATCCTCAGGCGGCTCAGAATGGAGGAGGTGCCCGAGCCCCTGGCCATGACCGTCCACCTGCTTGCCAGCGCCGGGCACGGTGCGCTCCTGCAGCAGACGCTGGACCAGCTCCTGCGCTGCATCTGCCCACAGGTCCGGCCCTTCCTGGTGTCCGAGAGGGTCAGTCCCGCGAGGTACTACGACAGGGGCCACTCCCGGCGCTCCCGGTTCCCGGGGGTGTCCGTTCTGCTCTTCCTGCAGGAAAGCCTGGGCGAGGAGCGGCTGCTGCACGTCCTCGACTCCCTTCAGCGCTGGCCTTGGCAGTGCTACCCCGCCCGGCAGGCCCCGGCCAGGCCGTGCCCTTACATACTTGCCAACCAGGAATTCTACAGTCTGGACAGCCAGATGCCCGTCTGGGGGGTGAGGCAGGTGCACTGTGGCTCGGAGATCCTGAGGGTGACGCTCTACTGCAGCTTCGACAACTACGAGGACGCCATCAGGCTCTACGAGATGATCCTGCAGAGAGAAGCCACCTTGCAAAAGAGCAGCGTCTGCTTCTTTGTGCTCTACGCCACCGAGGGCTTTGCTCTGCAGCTCTCCCTGAAGCAGCTGCCCCTCGGGGTGTCGGTGGACCCCAAGGAGTCCTCGGTGCTGCAGTTCAGAGTTCAAGAGATCGGCCAGTTGGTTCCTCTGCTGCCCCATCCGTGTGTCCCCATCAGCCACACCAGGTGGCAGACGCAGGACTATGATGGCAACAAGATTCTGCTTCAGGTATTTCTGTTTGGTCTCTGAAGGCTGTGGAGAGGCAGGTGGGACTGTGATTTTACACGCGAGGGAGGCCTGAGAGATGACTGAGTCCAAGGCTCCCCGCCTGGTTTGTACATCACAATTCCTGGGAAGTTTTCAGACGTTCCCATCCCATCACTGCACCCCGGGCCAGTTAGATCTCTGGGGGACCCAGGCCTGGGCTTGTTTATTTTTTTAACTCCTTGGGCATGTGTCAACAATGAGCGTCACTGATCTAATAACATCCCCGCAGCTGACAGATAAGGAGGTTCAGATGCTCTGAGCTTGTGACTTAGCTTGCAAAGTCATTTGCAGTCAAATCCAAGGACTCCCCATTTTTAATCAACTGTGCTCACCCACTATTGGCCAATAACTGCTCACTTCTGGATCCAGGAATACCGTCAGCTCTGTCTGTCTGGCGTGAGGAAGGTGACGTTGTAATTATGGTCAGGGATATTAAGCGTACCGTCCTGCTGACTTCATTTTTTAAAAATAATATAATAGTTTATTTTTTACATCATTTTGTGCCTTTTTCCATCTCAGTTGTCATCCCCGTGGGCTTCCCATCACTAAATCAC